CCTATAATTTTATTTGTTTTAAATTGAGTTTGAATTCTATTGGCCTTTTTTGTCTACATCTCAAACGTTTTTTTTTTCTTCTTTAAAATACATTGAATTATGGCCAAGACCCTTTGCCTTTATTTTAAGTAAAAAAAAAAAAAAAAAAAAGTAGAGGCAAATGAGTTTCCATGAGTTCCACATGTGACTGTATAACTACACTATTAAGGAAAAATAGTGTTCTTCTTGTTACTTAAAAACAAACAAACAAAAAACCAAGTTAATGCAGTAAATCTGATACAGCGTAGGTCGTCTTTTCAGAATTCATGTTTCCCAGATGATTGGTGCAAATATCATCAGGCTACCGGCGCACACCTGCGCGTCTTTAAAAAGGATGTTTACATTCAGTAGGACTTGAATGAGAGGTTTTGAGTACTGCTAATATAATAACAGTGTAACACACACGGACACACACCCGCGGCGGGTTTTGACTTTATTAACTACAATTTGAAAGTTGTCGCACTCCAACGGCAATCTCTCGTTGCCTCATTTCTTTATTCTTTTCCCAGAATAACACCGACAAGTGAGTAACTTTTTTAATTACTTTTGGGGTCGAGATACCGCTTCAGTATCGCCACGTTGCTTTCCACTTATACTTACAAACTGTTTACGGTAAACTTGTGCCTAATTCCACTCTGAGTGTAAACAGAAGTAAACCGGTTCAGCGGACACATGGCGTTGCTCTATCTTTAAACAAACTTGTGGCCTTTTTTTGGGAAGCCAGTAATGAATTCACAACACTATCTTCAGATCCAGATTTTCGGGCTCAAAAGAACACAAGCTGACAGACCGAAGTCTTAATATATTTGTCGAGGTTCAGTCTCCCAAGACGCTCCTCGCTGGAACAAATCTTGTCTCACGAGGACGCTTTCTTTCGCTTCCTATTTTCCCAAGCTGATATCGAGTGTTGCGTTCATATTTTTTGGCACCAAACTTTCTTATTTTGTCCATTTCTGTTGTCACATTTCCCCACCCCCACCTGAGTTTATTTACTTCTAATTTATATGTCCGTTACGACCTTGTATGGAAACAAAGTACTGTTTTTCAGCCAAAAACAGATATGCACAGCTTGTACCTTTGGAAACATTCCTCCTCCCTGTTGTTAAAGTATTTACTCTTACTTAAATCACACCTGGGAGCAAAAAAGAGATTTTTCTGAAACTATGAAGACAGCTGTGATCTGGAACAAATCCCTGTACTGTACAGGCAGGCTACTGATTCTTTTCTTTTTTCTTTTTGTAGACATCTCAGTAATATCCTTCTCTTTCACTTGAATGTCGACTCGTTTGGACGGCTCCACCCCGTGGCTGTCTCTTCACAGCTTTTCGGTTGGAAGTCAGGAAAATGATTCCAATGGGATGCAAAACTGAGATGAAGGCCGCTCGTTGCTTCACTTTTGTAATCCCACGTCTCTTCTGCCAGGCCTATGCAAAATTCATCTCAGCACGAAGCACTAAGTGAAGCTTCTCGGGTTTCAAACAAACAAACTTTGGGGTTAAACTTGTAGACAGAAATAATCCGTCTGTTTATTTTAGTTTTTTATTCCTATTACATTTCAGTTCTTTAATGAGATGTTTTAACGGTACACACTTCACCTTTAACCAGCTCAGTTGCTTTTGTCCTGTGCACTACTAAGCACAGAGCTTCCCCATTATCATATCACACTATTGACTGGCCGGGACAGGCATGTTATCGACTTTCCTCTCACCTTCTCATCTCAAATCGTAGCTTTAAATATCTGTGTCTTTAGACTAGTACAGGACAGAATGAGCTCACGGACACTTTTAAAAGGGGGAAGCACTGGAACGAGTTCAGCTCGGACTGCGCTCGCACTACATTAGGTCAGTGCTGTCTCTCTGGTGTGTGGACACTGGATTGCAGTCCCTCTAGCATTCCAGCTGTAAACAGTATTTTGGGAGTTTTTACACAGCTTTGCTCCGTTTCTTTTTAATATCCATCATCTTGGCTTTCATAACAAAATGCAACCAAACAAGTCCCGCTTCTGCCCCCCTCTTTGGGTCATCCATCCGTCCCGTTGTATTCTCAGCTCTACGATGAGCCGATCTCCTTTTAGTCTTTCTCTCTCTGAGGGAATGCAATACACTGTCGGCCCTCAGTTTATCGATATGAATCTATTTACATTTTTGTGTATGTATTATATAATGTTACTGTTAATGACTGATAAATATACAGAACTTATTTTTATTTTGTTACATTTCATATATACATAAATATATATATCTTTAAAATGTTTACAATAAGATTTTTGTAAAAAAATGTTTCTTTTTTTTCTTTAATTTTCTGAGTGATTAGGTGAACGAAGAGTTGGAAACACAGACATGTTTCCACGCAGGAGAGTGTCAGTGCTGTCTGCTTGTAGTCTAGGTATTAGTTTACAGTATTGATCATAATAGTATTGATAGCTGCCGTTTAAACCTAGTGGAAAATGGAATGTGCATCACGAGCATGTCTTCATAATTTACCGCCAATGTAAAGCATCACACTGCAACTGTAAAAAGGCCAAGGATCCAAGCTGCCTGTCATGTCTGTACACCACCAAATTAAGAACGGTATACTATTAAAATGTATCTTAGATTATCTCTATATAAATACATATATTGTTAAGCTGTACCAACAGTTCAAAGTATTTGCTAATTTTACTACTTTTGTTATGTATATGTAGGGGGAGTCTTATGGCATATAAATTCTTTCAAATTGAGTCAGGAGTTTAAAAGCAGACTATATTTTATAACGGCCTTTTAAGTTATTGTGGCCAAAGCACTGATATTATATATTTGCTGTAAAGAGAATTTAAGAGTTTTATTTTTCTGATATTAAAGTTACTTAATAAAGACTGTTTCATTTTAAGCCATGCCAGACTGCTGTCATTTTTTTCTTTTCATATTTCCCGTGGGATTGTTTTCACGAGGAGTTCAGATTTCATCAGAATTACAACATACGGGAGGATGTTTTTTGCGATTGAGTGGGAAGGTTCAGGTGAAATTTTAAGTTATTATCTCAAAAGTTCAACTCAGACTTCTAAGTAAGTTGAAATTTTGGAACGCTAACCTTGAAACTCTTATGAGAAGGGTTTGTTTTGTTTTTTTTTTCCCCACCAGTGGCAGAAATAAGCTTTCATTTTAACAGGTATTCCTGACGAAAGCAGCACCACACTCCTCACTAGTGAGCATTAATGTCCCTCAGGACCTGCAAAAATTGAATTATTGGATCAAGATTGCAGAAAAAAGAACGATGCAAAGTGCAGCCTTTGAAAAAAATATTGATATGGAGTTGGGTAAGCGTTAAATAGCACGAGGACTTTGTTCTTTGAATTCTGCTGCTCAGACTAGGGTGAAGTTAGAAATTGTGATTAGAAATTCCAGTTTGGAAACACAGCACATAGTTGTTGTTTTTGGTTTTTTTATAGATTCAATAATTTGCCGCTCATCATCTCTGTAGATAAAGCAAAAAAATAGAAATACAGTGTGTGTGTCAGTGTTGGAGCGTTTTTTACATCCATTTTTTATGGCTTTCTCTACATTACTTTTTCCATATGCTTTACAGTAGCCGTAGGGATTTTTGTACTTGTGTTTCTTTTATTTATTTCACACCACTCAAATATCCAGCCTTGTACAGAAAGAAATCAGATATTAGAGGCAGCACGACTGAACGTAAGATGTACACGACTGCTAACGGTTTTCATCAGGCAGTAAATTTGAAAAAGCCCACCCACATGTGCCTTCTATTCTTTTTAATTAAACATCAGCTGAAGTGCACGTTGTTCTGCTGGTATTATAAAGAATGTGTGTATTTACAGAATGCTTGTTGCCCCAGAGGTTTTGAGCTGTGACAGTTGGAAAACTACACGTGTAAATAAGGCAGGGTCTGCTGTGTCCTCTGACCTCATGGATGTCCTTTAAAAATCATTTTCTTGATTTGTTGTCCAAATGTCTTCTGTGACAAACGAACATGGAAAAAAATGGGTGCAACAGAGCAAAAAGAAGAATGAGGGGAGATATGAAATATAGCAAAAGTGCATTTGAATGAGGGGGTGGGGTCAATATTTATCCACTTTTCTTTGCAAAGGGCATCTCCAGGACACAGGTGGGATTCAGGTATGGGCTCTGAGTGGATGGGGTATTGAAAATCTTCTTTGTTGAAGTCATTTTTTTGTTGATTATATGCTTTAACTTGTTACAGCAAAAGATAAAACTGTTCTTTATCTTTAGATGTCTTCTTGTGTTAAAACTTCTACCACCCTGACTAAAGCACAAGTCCCAGCAGAGGAAAATCAGCCCCAAAGCATAACGCTGCCACCGTGATCATGATGTCCCTGTGATGTGCAGTGCTGTAGGAATTATGGCTACAAAGTTCAACATGGCCCCACATGCTTTTTAATAACCTGGTGTACACGGTTGCAAAACGTATTCAGGGTTGGATGGTTCATGTCTTGCCACTACAGCCCATTTAGTACACGACCATTGCTCGCCAGAAATTCCTGCAGCTCCCCTAATGCTGCTGTAGGCCTCTCAGCAGCCTCCAGACCAGTTTTCCCATCAGTTTTGGAGGGATATCCAGGTCTTGGTTGTGCCATATATATGTGTCTCCAATGATCGTGTGCCATGGCATACCCACGCACCCTTCTCTTGATTGATATATTTTTCATTACTTGTTTTATAAAACATTTGTCTCAACTCTTCTTTGTACACTTAAATCACCTCTTAAGATCAGAGGAATTATCAAAAGTGGAGCCAGTAAAAGTAGCAGCACTGAAACAGACATCAGCTGAGCTTTTCAATCCTTTGTTCTTTGTTGAAATTCAAAGTGTTCTTCTAACTTTAACTTGAGCTCTGGTGTAACTGTACACTCCCGTGTGTCTATCCAGGCCTTTTCATTAAGGATCACCTCATTTAATAATTGCTTTCTTATGTTGCTGTGAAAAAAAAGAACAGGACACTGTGTAGAGAATATCAGGCCATTTTTAATTATAGACTCTCACATAAGAAATACAGGTAAACTTTATATCTGCAATTTGTCATAGTAGTCAGCATCAACTCATCTGAGCTGTCTTTTGGCTCCTATAATAACCGCAAGTTATATAAAAACATCTGTCCACCTTAAAGCACAACATCATATAACGGACTCTATTCTTCAGCATAAATTCTCTATCCTGTTTCCTGCCATGCAATAGATTAGATCCATAATAAGAAGTGTCAAGATTTTAACATTTTTGAACACAGCTCTTCAAAATGATGGTGACATAATGCAAACAGGGATGAGGAAAGCAAACCACGGCTTAGTTATGGTTACTTGTTGGGTTGTGAAGATCCCTGTGAACAAAGAGTAAAAGGACAGACGGACATTCGTGAAGAAAAATCCTTTTCATGAAGCTATGACTGAGCGGAAGTTTGTGTGTTAAAATAACAAGCGTGAGTTGATGGTTGCGACTGATCAACATGTGACAACTTGCATCAAACAGTGCAACAGAATCCATCAGACGCGCTTTTCTTGACTAGTTTGTCACACTTCACCCGTTTCAGGTTTCAACCTGCAAGCGAAGTGGTCGTTTATTAGAGGTGGACCGCTAATAACCAGAGATTTATGTCTTTAAGGTGCCTTTTTTTAATAGGACGTGCTAAAATTTTTACATGAATTCATTAGATCATTTGAGTAAGTTACGTCTATGCAGATTCCCTCTATTTGCCTTTACTACAACACACAAACATCAGTACACAGCAGGTGCTGGTTTCTACTCTCTTCTGATGATAATTTGCATGTAATGCAGAGCAAATGAATCACTCCATTTTAAAAAGGGCTTTCTTTGACATTAAAATTCATGCAAACACTGACATGCATTTCGAAAGCAAAGTTATTTACATGGATTAAAGAGGAAAACAAAACTGCAAATCAAAAGAAGAGGAAAAAAAGTCTGATAAGCCAAAAGAAAAACTAAGATGTGTTTAAATGAAAAGTGAGAGGGCAAAAGGTGTCCCAATGCTGCATACAGTATGTTTTCATTACAAAGCATCACACGATGCTGCCTGATCACAGCCCTGCGTTAGCTGTAAACCAGCCTATTTGCTCTACTGTTCATTCGCCACCTCAAAACAATGGTTATTGAATTAAATCGAGGAAAAAAAGTAAAGTGCTAAAAATTTACAAAGAAAGGTAACAAAAATAAAACCAAGAAAATATATCAATATTGCTGTTAACCGCCTTAAACTCTCCTTCTCTTTGTGGGTAAACTACACACAGGTGACCTGGATAAGTGGGCTGCAAGTCATAAGGTATTTAAGTGCAATTAGGTCTAGGCCTTTAAAATCCAATTAAAGAAACCTCAGCTAACAGAGGTTGAGAAACAGCTGCCAGTGACTGGACTTTCATGCTGTCATGATCACACATTTATACTGTTTCTCAGTATTTATCGCTTTGGTTTGCCAAAACAAAGCCTGCTCATTATTCTGCAAGCACATCACAGATAAAAATTTGCAGTCTGCCTCTGCTCTGCTCATCTTATCGTACCCAAAGAATCTCAGCTTTTCTCTTTGTGTTCTCAGCACAAAAGTGAGGAGGTACAGAGCCCGAGTATCATGGCGGCATTATGGAGGGTGTATCTGAAACCGATGGGAGGCGACCATGGTTTAAAAGAAGACTGAATGATCATCTACAAAGGCCTCTTGCCAGAAATGAATCATTTGTGTATGCTTATGTGAATTTTGTTATGTGCAGTGTGTGTCTGGTGTAAAGCATGTTGTAACGCTGGTTTTGAAGTGCTAAGCTAACAAACGTTATTACTTATTTTTCAGTTATTCTTGAGACACCAAACGTCTGCTGGGAAATCTTGACTCTGAGCTTTTGTACGAATGTTACTTTGACGCCCATCTAAATGCAACATCTAGCATGACAGAAGACTCTTCTAGTATGATAAAACACCCCGCCACAAGATCTCCAATCCAGATGTTCTGCTCATTGCACAGAACACTGTATAATAACTGGTGAAACTAGGACATCAGGACACCCATGGGCACAGACTTGCACCTATCACTTGAAGTCCAAACCTGTACTTTGACAACACCACACCAAAAAGCAAACAAACAAAAAACCCCAAGTCCACAGAGATGTTTCAGTTAGGGAGCTGGAAGCAGTCTTCAGGCACGGGGGCATGTTGTTTTCTCCTGCAACATTTGTGGATGGGTGAGAATCGAGCTGGTGTTGAGGGGTTTCCCTCCTCTGAGTGTTGGGGGTGCTGCTGCTTTGCTATTCAGCCTGACAGCTGAATGAACCTGTGCCTTTCTCCAAGTGTAAAGCAGTCTGTAACAGTTTAAATAAAACTTGACACAACACAAACCAGTAATACACAGATGTTTTTGCCTGCGTGTGATTTTAATATCCGTCAGTAGTGGGGTGGTTGTGTTGGTGAACATTCCAGTTTAATGGGGTCTGCAGGTCAACCTTGTGCATGTTTGGTGATTTATACTTTGAAGCTGTGTGACTTTAAGCCATTCCAGTCATTCCAAATTAAAGCCATCTATCAAAAATGTGGATAAGCATTTTTAATAAACTGCTTCCGCTAATTTAGTGTCACGAGCTAAAGTTAGGGCCACAGTGCACAGAAGGTGCTTTAAACACACCTGGAAGTATTTATTCATGTGGGACAGCTTCAGTTTCACCTTCTCTACCCAAAACAATTCACAGAGGAAGACTTTCCATTGCCACTGTATACTGCAGCGACATGCTGCTGTTACAAAGATCTCAGTCGAGAGGCTGTGGGTCTGCTATAGGCATAGTGTGCAGAACCTCGTCCAGTAACTGCAGAGCTCTATGCAGGTGGATCTCAATCCAGCAGGGGGTCTCCTTGATGCTCTGGCGTGGGTAGTCAGGCCCCCAGCCTTTAACAAAGCTCATCCTGAGAATACATAACCTCCGCAGGTCGTCCACACCGATTCCAGCTGCTGCTGACAAACCTGACAGGAGACAGAAAGACACAATTAAAACCACTGTGACAAAAACAAACCAACCCAAAATGCATCCCTCAATCAGGCAATTTTCACAGATGAATTCGGGACAATGTTGGGAACAAGTCTAAAGTATCCATGTCTCTGTACCAGAGCACAGCAAGGGGGATAGTGTGCTTAGTACACAGCCTGCAGGAGGCCAGAAAACCACTAGCTGTAAACTCACTGGACTATCAGAAGCAATATCCCCAAAAACTCTATGAATAAAAGCAACCATAGAGAATTCAGTATCTGAGCTGACTATACAGTGGGGCAAAAAAGTATTTAGTCAGCCACCGATTGTGCAAGTTCCCCCACTTAAAATGATGACAGAGGTCAGTAATTTGCACCAGAGGTACACTTCAACTGTGAGAGACAGAATGTGAAAAAAAAAAAATCCATGAATCCACATGGTAGGATTTGTAAAGAATTTATTCGTAAATCAGGGTGGAAAATAAGTATTTGGTCAATAACAAAAATACAACTCAATACTTTGTAACATAACCTTTGTTGGCAATAACAGAGGTCAAACGTTTCCTATAGGTCTTTACCAGGTTTGCACACACAGTAGCTGGTATTTTGGCCCATTCCTCCATGCAGATCTTCTCGAGAGCAGTGATGTTTTGGGGCTGTCGCCGAGCAACACGGACTTTCAACTCCCGCCACAGATTTTCTATGGGGTTGAGGTCTGGAGACTGGCTAGGCCACTCCAGGACTTTCAAATGCTTCTTACGGAGCCACTCCTTTGTTGCCCGGGCGGTGTGTTTTGGATCATTGTCATGTTGGAAGACCCAGCCTCGTTTCATCTTCAAAGTTCTCACTGATGGAAGGAGGTTTTGGCTCAAAATCTCACGATACATGGCCCCATTCATTCTGTCCTTAACACGGATCAGTCGTCCTGTCCCCTTGGCAGAAAAACAGCCCCATAGCATGATGTTTCCACCCCCATGCTTCACAGTAGGTATGGTGTTCTTGGGATGCAACTCAATATTCTTCTTCCTCCAAACACGACGAGTTGAGTTTATACCAAAAAGTTCTACTTTGGTTTCATCTGACCACATGACATTCTCCCAATCCTCTGCTGTATCATCCATGTGCTCTCTGGCAAACTTCAGACGGGCCTGGACATGCACTGGCTTCAGCAGCGGAACACGTCTGGCACTGCGGGATTTGATTCCCTGCCGTTGTAGTGTGTTACTGATGGTGACCTTTGTTACTTTGGTCCCAGCTCTCTGGAGGTCATTCACCAGGTCCCCCCGTGTGGTTCTGGGATCTTTGCTCACTGTTCTCATGATCATTTTGACCCCACGGGATGAGATCTTGCGTGGAGCCCCAGATCGTGGGAGATTATCAGTGGTCTTGTATGTCTTCCATTTTCTGATGATTGCTCCCACAGTTGATTTTTTCACACCAAGCTGCTTGCCTGTTGTAGATTCACTCTTCCCAGTCTGGTGCAGGTCTACAATACTTTTCCTGGTGTCCTTCGAAAGCTCTTTGGTCTTGGCCATGGCGGAGTTTGGAGTCTGACTGTTTGAGGCTGTGGACAGGTGTCTTTTATACAGATGATGAGTTCAAACAGGTGCCATTCATACAGGTAACGAGTGGGGGACAGAAAAGCTTCTTACAGAAGACGTTACAGGTCTGTGAGAGCCAGAGATTTTCCATGTTTGAGGTGACCAAATACTTATTTTCCACCCTAATTTACGAATAAATTCTTTACAAATCCTACCATGTGGATTCATGGATTTTTTTTTCACATTCTGTCTCTCACAGTTGAAGTGTACCTCTGGTGCAAATTACTGACCTCTGTCATCATTTTAAGTGGGGGAACTTGCACAATCGGTGGCTGACTAAATACTTTTTTGCCCCACTGTATCAAACAGTTGTGTTCTTCTGTTCACCTCCGTCAGGTAATATCCAGGAAAAGTCTTCAGGTGAGCTTACAAGTGATTCTCATCAACTACAAGTGAAGCTATTTATTAAACTTAATAGTAAGGACATTTTTAAATCAAAATATGTTTTTCAGATGATTGTTTTTCTTATACTTAGATGACAGTAAACTCAATATTGTGAGGTTTTGGATGTACAGACACTCAGATTATGTCTATATGAAAAGTAACACATCCAAAGATTTCCAGCTTCAGTTTTGGAGTGGGGTAGTCAAGACTCTACTGAGCAGGAGTCCATAAAATCATTTTGATTTAATTTCTGTTCATAGCATCAGTATTTGCAGTTGCTATATCTTACTAATAGCTGGAGCTATCCCTCCTACTGATCCAGGTCCAGGTATATTTCCAGCCACAGCTGCTGCTTGAGCTGCTGCTGCTGCTTGAGCCGTAGCAGCCTGCTGTTGCATCTGTCTGTGGCACTGACGCAAGTCGAATACCTGGTGGGACAGACGACACTCTGAATACTGTTTTTATTTACATTTCTCAAACCAAAATATATGAAAGCTGACAAGTTTATTACACAGGAAAAATTGCTGTGGACTGAAACCTGTGGCCTCACCTTGATGTAAGCGCTGGGGTAGATTTTGTGAACTGCGTCACCGGGGGCTCGGCCCGCCTCTCTGTCCAGGTAGTAACTCTGAACAAACACAGCATGGTCACTGAGGCATCGCACCCACACATCTCCCTCGCCTTTACACTCCAGCTGGACCCCTTTACCAATGTGTAGTCTGTCAGAAAAGAAGGAAAACATGAGAAAGAGAATGAACTGGAGTGACTTTCCCCAAAACATGGTGTGCACTTCCTATAAATGTCAGCTTTGCACTCAGAAATTACACATAAATAAGGCCTTGATCCATAGATCATTTCAAAGGTAAACACACAATGTGATTGTCATTTTTGATGTGGACACATATTTACACAAAACAAACAGCAATTCCAAAATCTACTTTCATTCAGCCTCAGAGGTAAATGTTTGAAATTATTCCTGTAAAATTCATGTTTATAGGAGACTCCAGCTGCCTCCTCTGATATTCCTCTATTATGCAACTCCTCACTTCTCTAAATCTATAGTTGAGGATGGCATGACCCACAGAACACCCATTGTCACATTTACAGGAAATACGCAAGTTGTCGCTTAAAATGTAGCAAAAAGTGCCAAACGTTATGTTTCAAGTCAAATGACTTCTCATGCCAGTAGAATAAAGGGTCTCTTTAAGTAAACAGGAAGGCATAAACGGAAGTTATAAGAAGAACAGATTCTTCTGAAATTTCTACCTACAGTCATGTGAAAAGACATTATTTTTCTCTTGGCAATCTTACTGCATCCATATGATTTAAGAGGGTACGTAGAAATTCATCAAATGGACTTTATTCTTTGATCACCAGCAAATGTGACCACCTTGACAAAAGCAGAAATTTTGGAGCATCCAGGTTTGTGACAAAGAGGACAGACATCAGCAGTGATCTTAGAGAAACAATTACTGCTGTCCATCAATCTGGGAAGAGTTGGAGGGTCATTTCCAAACAAATTGAAGTTTGTCATTCTACAGTAAGAAAGACATTAACAAGTAGAAAACATTCAAGAGAGCTGCCAATCTTCCCTGGCCTCAAGGTCAATGCTCAGAGAAACTGCAAAAAAATAAAACAAAACAAAAAACCCCACAAACATATCACTCATCTAAGCATGATGTTCAAAACAGTGTGGCTTGTATGGAAGTGCTGCCAGAAGAAAACATCTCTCTACAAAGAACACGGCAGCACGGATTCGTTTGCAAAGTTTTATATGAAAAAACTGCCAGATTTCTGGAAGATTGTCCTTTAGACTGTGGCTATAATCCACAGCACCACATTTGGCATAAAACAAACAACATATTAGCACAAATACCTCATAACAACTGTCAAGCACGGTGGTGGTCATGTGAGGATTTTGGTGTGTTTTGTAACCACAGGACCTGAGCACCTTGTTCTAAATGAGGCAACCATGAAATCTCCTGTATAGCAACGTATTCTAAAGTCAAAAGTGAGGTTATCAGTAGGACAACTACAGCTTGGCTAAAAGGTCGTCATGCAACAGGACAATGATCCCTAGCACAGCAGCAAATCTACAACAGCATGACTGAGATGTGGATTTGGCCCAGCCAAAGTCCAGACCTCAAGACCAATACTCAAGAAAACCAATACTTAAGAACACCATACTCAAGACCTGCTTTGACAGGACCTTTAGAGATCTACACATAAACAAATGGCCACAAATCACAATAAACCGAATCAAAGGTGTAAAGAAGAGCACGCCAAAATTACACAATGATGTAAGAGACTGATTAAGTCACACAGAAAATGATTACTTTGAGTTATTGCTGGTAAAGGTGGTTTGCTGGTAAACAGTTGACTGGTGTGGTGCATTTGGTTTTTCACGTGGCTGTATGTAACATATGGTACTGTTCAGTTTCAAACATTTAACCAAAACTGATACAACTAATCTGTAAAAAATAGGGATGGGTATCGTTTAGGTTTTATCCGATACCGGTGCCAAATCGGTACTTTTGAAACTGTGCCGGTGCTCAAACAGTGCTCAAAGAATGGAGAACACCAACTTTGTCCAAAAACCTCTCATGTTCAGCTGGGTTTTTTTGTAAAAAGATAACAATGTTAGCCTTTTCTGCAGCTATGGGGCATATATGGTATCACTCTTGGCTGGAAGCAGTGCTTAAACAATGGAAAAAAAACACAAACTTTATCCAAAAACTTCTCATGTTTAACTGTTTTCCACTTTTTCTTTGGTCATTTTAGCCTTTTTGGCCAGGGTGAAGGGAGTATCTGCCATCAAACAAGAAGACAGCCGCATGTAGCTATGAAGATGTTTGCTAGTTCACCTTACCTGCATTAATGTAATAACGTGGTTAGCCTACTCACCGTAAATTACACACGAACAACATTAAGCTACTCACGCAGAGAAGAACGGCTGCTGCTGCATCATCATCCTCATCATTTCTGCTACACTGGCAGGGCTAGGGGCCAGGACTCTATTCTTCGTGTTTTTGGGGGATGTTGCTCTGGGTCCGATAACAGGCAACCCACCCGCAGTAGATGTGCACGGAGTGAGGTCTCGCAGCAAGCTATCAAATACGGCGCATTTCTCGGCTTAAAAAAAAACAAAAAAACACCTCTATGCGTCGCCAGGTGTTTCATTGGATTTGAGGTGTTACCTCCTTTGACAGTATCACAGTATCAGCTTAAAGCACTTGTTGCAGGCTGCTGAGTTTGCATATTTTGCTGTGAAGTACAGCCATACATTTGACCGCTTCGCCTTGGGCATTTTAATCTGTAGCTCTGCTCTAAAAGAACGTACGTACCTGGACCCGCCTACTATCCTCGGAAACGTAAAATGATTGGCTAGAATCTAAAGTGTATCACAGCTCAGGAAAAAAAAAAGCACCGAAATAAAGCACCGAAATGTGCGCTGCTTTTCGGTCTGGTTACTACCGTTTATGTCAGAACCGGTGCTATTTTACCCATCCCTAGTAAAAAAACAATACAAAACAAACAAACAAACAAAAACGCAAACCAAGCAAAACACGTTAAAATCTCAGTTCATTATTCTTGTTGGTGCCTACCTTGCTCTCTCGATAGCCTCAGTGCGATGTACATTACTGAGCTGGCCCAAACAGAACCTGTCACCGCCTGAGGGGTCCACATAGCCATCTACAGTCACTATGGGGCACGAGGAGGGCACTTTAAATGTCTCCCCAACCTGAACATCCATCTCAAAGTAGGCAATGGAACACCAGTAGTCAGGAGCTGAAACAGAGGGTAAGAAGATCTCAATAATTTCACATCAATAGAAATAAACCAGTTAATCCTCAAGGCTACATAAACTTTCTTATCTTTGAGTTATATATGTATATATAAATCTATAATGAAAGAAAAACCAAACTACATTTTACATTTATAAAAGTGTGATGCTTTCAAATCAGACTTTCTATTGTATTCACCCCTGAAACAGGGTTTGTGTATTTGGGTGGGTGGGCTGCGTTTCCTCACCTGGATGATTGGATATAGGAGGCTGAAAGGCGAGCTCATTGTGCACTGGCCCTGAGAAAGAGAGAGATGTCAGCGATCACCTGCTCTGCAAAGAAAAGTCTGTGATTTTATAAACAGTTACAGCTGTAGTGTCAGTGTGTACCTACAGTAGTGTGCTGGATGTGGTATAGGAGGGTGATGCTGTAGATGCCCATTGCTGTGGTGGGGTATGGTGGGAGTGAAGCCGTTCCTGGGCCAGGCGGAGGTGGGATCTGAGGAGAGAACGAAAGTCAGATCTGAAGCTGGACAGACAAAGACAAGGAACTCCAAAAAGTGCAACACACTTTCAAAGACGAGAAGCAGACTGTATGAAACGTTCACACTGACAAGCAAGTTTACGAGGTGATGTTTTATGACTGTATCTTACTGCCTGATCCAGCAGCAACAGCAGGAAAGGATGCCGTTGAGGCAGAGGTGGAGGGCTCAGGGGGCGGGAGCAGAGTTGGAGTTGGAAATGATTCCGACGGTGGTGGCCGACTACTGGTTGGGGGATGCTGGATGGTCTGAAGGGAGTGGCTGCCATCAATGGAGGACACACTCTGCTGTCCGTCAAAATCAAACTCATCCTTAACGATCATGGATGAGCTGTGCCCGGCGGAGCTGTTTATGGTCAGTCCTGATAAGTCTGCACACCGAGAGAAAGGACAGGTGGAACAGGTCACTGGCAGCACCAGATGCTCATGGGTATGCAGATGTGTGTAAATATCACAACACTTAAGGCGGCAAAGCAGCTGTCAAACTACAATCTGTGTTACAGACCAGAGTTATTATAGTTTTGTGTTTTTTTTAAATTAAATTTTGATTCTTGTTTTTGATTCAGTTTAGTTTTTATTTTTGAAAATGTTTAGTTTGGGCTTATTTTTGTATCAGTTTCAGTTTTAAAATATTATCATATGGAGGGCATATGTTAGAGACAATATTAGAAAATCAGCACAGGTATTACAATAAACACATAACCTTTTATCCATCAATACCTCATCAGGCAAGTATTACCTTTTTTTTTTTTTTTTTATAAACAAAACTACCAAATGAATGAATAAAAGCGAAATGCTTCACAGTAACTTTGTACGTCCACAAATGTGTTTTATTAACTGTTGGTAGCCAAATTTGTAACTCAGATTATAACTGGATCAACTGCAAATCTTAAATGAACCTCACCAACATTACTCACCTATACCAGGAGACACCACCCTCTCATAGTGATAGGGGTTCACGCACACACAGTCACACTTGAGGTCAAAGGCAAACTGGCAGTATTTCACGTGCTTCAGTTCATTCTTATGCAGGTCAGGCCAGCGCCACAGCCGTGCATAGATTACATGAGGGAAGCCTTTACGTCCAGCCACCTGGGAACAATGAGAAACAGAAAACAGAGTTAATTCATTTATATGCTTGCTGCAGAAAAGAACGCCTATTGTCAACTTTTGTGTAGCTCATTGATATTTCTCAAACGGAAACCGATGTTTTAATAGTTTAACTGTATATAATATCCGTAAATACAATACCATTGCATTTATGTGTCATAAATTATTATAAATGCAAACAAAGAAAAAAAAAAGGAAAACAAAATCATTGACAATTAACAATGTCAAATAAATGAAGGTACCGTAATTGTCGGGCTATAAGCCGCTACTTTTTGCACAAGCTTTGAACCCTGCGGCTTTTCTATGGATTGTCCATGATTTTTGTCATATTGTAAGACGATTTGTTTTGTTTGTTCCGCTGTTGTACGGCACTACGTTGCCTGGCGGAAGGGCATGCGATCAGACACACAGTATCGGGGTTCAAGAGTGGTATGTTGGTCACATGTCCATCCGCCAGGCAACATAGTGCCGTACAAGTAGCGCAAAAAACAAACTTCAAAGTTTCCCGTTCAGCGGGAGACGTGGATGACGAGCGGCAATAATCTTGCGAAAAGCAAGTTATGCTCAACTCCACCGGTGGAATCTGACAGCGTGGAAAAATGTGAAAACGAAGGAAGGAAAGCTGAGAGTGGATGACGAAGCCACCCTGAGCCTGTTCGTTTCCGACACTGGAGAAGAGGACTTTGGTGGTTTTAGTGCGCAGGAAGAAGAGAAAGATGGTGAATGACTGACTTTTCTTCTTGTTAAAGCCGTGTCGTTGCACCTGAGCCTAAAAGGTAGTCTGAATCTATTTTTCTGGTGTGCTGTAGGTTATTGTTATGTACTACATTTGTTACTCATTTATGAAGCACAGTACATGTTTCGTACTTGTAATTACCGCTACTTGTACATATACCTAAAAAGTTATGCAAATATGTACCCATAACTTGTTTTTCAAAATATTAATAAAAGGGATGTGTCTCCAAACAGCCATCTCTTTCCTGACAATTCCCTTTGTGCATATTCTCTTACATATGATAAGACAACATTGAAACACCTGCGGCTTTTAGTCAGGTGTGGCTAATGTATGTACAAAACAGGATTTTCCCCTGATTTTAGCTTGTGCGGCTAATATTCAGGTGCACTTTGTGGTCCGGGAAATACGGTACATACAACCTAAAGTAAGGCATAAAAATTTCCTCTTTTTTTCTTGGAAGTCCTTCTTACATTAGCAGGAGGCAAAAAGAGTTCTGACTGGATGAATTACCATTAGGTTAGGGCTGCCACAAACGATTATTTTGATAGTCGACTAGTCACCGATTATTTATGCGATTAGTCGACTAATCAGATCATCATCCACTGGACGTAAAACTACAGCTTATTGCACCAGCAGCATCTGCTCTTATATAACTATCATTAGCTTACAGCTTTAAGTGTTACAGGTGCTAACTAAAAATAAAGACAAAATGATAGTTTATTCAATTTTAATGAAATTTGCAGATTGTTTCGGTGAAGTTTAATAAACTCCTTGCTATCTAAAATATAACAGGACACCGGAGTATATTCTCCAGCATCTCACACTTCTGATAATCAGCTGTCTGCTTGACGTTTATTCAGCTGTGTAAAAACTATAACTTTAATCTCAGACAAACCGATTTACTCAGGAACAAATAAAATACAAAAAAAAAAAAGCCAAACAACAACATTTTTAATTTATCTAAGTGACTCATATATATTTAACCTGAGTAGCGAAAGACGGCGGTGGGTTAGAAAACAATTTGCCGGGAGTCCGGTGTTCTCACCGCGCTAGTGACCTAGCCCCCGGCTAGCTATCGAGCTGGTGGGTAACAGACGTCTCCGAAAACGTCAGAGCGCTTTTGAAAATATGTGGTGTCCTGATAAACTGAGCTGATATTTGAGGTTTACACAGCTACATTCTCGCCTGAAAATAGATTAGAATTAGAATTAGAATTAGATAGAACTTTATTAATCCCTCGGGTGGGTTCCTCTGGGAAATTCGATTTCCAAAAAAGCACAGCACCGACAGAAGTTACAGAGTTATACACACACACATATATATAAATACAGAGACAATATAAATAAAATATACAAAGGGGATAAATAGAATAAATAGGAATAAAAATAAAAATACAAGTGAATTGCACATTTCAAGTATTGAGTCTATTGCACCGTTGACTATTTACAAAAGTATTGCACAAAAGGTATTGCACAGTGAGGTGAAGAGGCACTACAGCTTAGTTGTTCCCCCCTCCTTTGTCCTCCTGTTTCCCCTCCCTCTCCCCTCCAGAGAGGAGTTAAACAGTTTGATGGCGTGTGGGACAAAGGAGTTTTTAAGTCTGTTAGTTCTTGTCTTTGGGAGAAGCAACCTGTCACTGAACAGACTCTTCTGGTTGTTAATGGCCGTGTGCAGAGGATGCCTGGCATTGTCCATAATGTACGTCCAAATACGTTAAACGTTTATTTTCTGACCCAGAAAGAATAATAAGAGTAATATTAAAACTAACTAGCTGCCGCCATTGTTGGAAACTAAGCTGGGCCGCGCTATGATTTCTGGGACACAGCTGCTTCTTCTTCTTCTTCGGGGTTTAACGGCAGCTGGCATCCTTGTACATGCAGTGCTGCCATCTTCTGTTTCAGTCCGTTATTACACTCTTAAATCCTGCTACTTATTCCTGCGTCTTTTGGGATCTTACAAAGCTTCAAACGACGCGTCGACTATTAAATCAGTCGTCGACGATTTTGATAGTCGACGTAATCGTGACTAGTCGACAAATCGTGGCAGCCCTACATTAGGTATATGTTCACCTGTGTGTCGGCATGTTTAAACGTGCTAGTAAATGAGTGAGTATGTGTGTTTGTAAGCCTTTAAAAGAAAATGTGGCAGGTGCGCTCAAGAAAAGCGAGCATATCAGGATTCTCTGAGGTTTGCCCTGCACTTTGATGTGACGTTTCCTGCTGCAGATAACAGACGTTCTGATGGAGTAGATGTTAGCATACAGTTTAAAAGCCCTCGGGTCAGTGGATCAGCGTTTTATTGGCCCATGTATGTTTTTTATGGGCCTCTGGGGAAAAAGAATATATTCATGCAATTTTCAAACTTACATGATGACAGTGCAAAACCATGACATAGTCTCCACCGTGTTTTACAGATGGCTATAGATTTTCACTGTTGTACCTCTCTCCTGGTCTCATCTGTGTATATCAGTGACAATTTGATCCAAAAATATCAAATTAAGTTTCTTCCCTCTCACCTGTTGCCACTGATTTTCCGCCCTAGTTTCCCTTCCAGTGACACCATTTCTGGCAGATGGCTCATCTTAAGGGACATTCCTTAGTTTAGTTTTAAGGCCTGCCACATATTTTGTCCTCTTCTTGTCCAGTTTCCTCAAATTTCTTTAAGAACTCACTGCACACCATGCTGAGATCTGCCAAATCTGTTGGATAATAGCTCTTTGCAAATTACCTTTGCGGTGCAGAAATACTATTTTTTTTCTGACAAGCGGTGCTATCTTTGGCAATTTTCATAGATGTGTAAAACCTCATGACCACTGATGTATTAAGCAGAAACAGCCTTTATATTTAAATACCTGCAGCCGTCCATCAAGTGTCCTCTGAATGGTCACACACTTGCTCGGGTGAGCCCCATTGGTGGTGATAGCTGTAATGAGAGAGTCAAGTTCGTCTTTTTTCTCCTTCAGCTTCTTCACCAAGCTCTCGATGGCGCGCTTGGCAAACGTCTCGCTCTCGCCGCCCTGCCTGTGACACATGAGGCTGTGTACAATGCTAAGGCAGGCATCATTGCTGGTAGGAGTGTTGGTGATGGACATCTCGGCTAATGTTTTTCCCACTGCGGCTTTTTGACACGGTTTCACCTCATTGTCAAGATGTTAGGGCAGAGAGACTGTCACAGTTCAGCAGTGCTTCTTAATGAGACTGGTGACAAGCTCTGGAAGTAAAATGAAAAGCAAAAAAATAAAATCAGTTTAGCTGAAAAGCTGATTCAGCTTTTCAGTAATTTTGAAACCTCTAGAATAGATTATGGTGCTGCACAGCTCAGTAGGTAAATATAAAGACATAAGACAAAACATTTTAACAGCATTTTTTCCTGTTGAGTTACTGCCTTGTTAATTCAAAAGACAGATTAGCTTTCCAGGAAAACAAAACAACAACAACAAACAAACAGGATTTCTGTTTTGAGTCTGGGTGGCTGGCAGCAGGTGTGAACCAGAAACTAACCTTATAAAGAAAAAAGAAGTTTTTAGCCGCATAATGACAATGCTAGCTCACCAACAACCAAATGACATGTCGAAGCGGCCTTCCGTATATCCACAGCCGAGTTTAGAAACTCCCGTAGCTTTTTATTCGTGGGTAAAAATTAAGTTTGAGTTGTTGTGTTCGCTAGCTGCTCAGCTAACTAGCGGCGCCAGTCTGGCTGCCGCTTGTTCAGGAGGAAGCTTCAGGAAATTACTCCCAATTGACAGACATAACCGGAAATGCGCGCACAATCTCTTCAAAATTAAAGGTTGGGCACTCAACAATGGTTTGGTCTACAGGCGCATTAAAAGTTGGTCATACAAGCCACAAAGTATTATTTTCTTTTCAACACAAATTCAGAGGGATCAAAATATATATTAGGTGCATAGATTAATCGCCTTTGCCTGTAATTTTATTTTGATGTGCTTTCACGGATATAACTGCTTTAATTAAAGCCAACTCTCTTGTAGTTCTTGCTACCCGATACCAAAATATCAGCTAGCACAGATGACTGTTGATAGCAAACTACGTAGCGTGCAACCGTGAGGTTAGCAGACATGTTTGTTATTGTGGCAAGTTCCGCCGCACACGACATCAAGCAACAACGTGATCACTCACAAGTAGTAAAACACTCTTTGGTGAGTAAGGTCTTTGTAGTTTAAAAACACAAACTCGTTTTTAGTGTTTCAAACCTTCCACTTTACGCTTACCTGGAGTTAGCAGGTGTAGCGGCTAACAGACGAGCCCTGTCCCCAAGTAGCCGTGCCGACAGGGGCCAGCGATGGGTCTGTGCAGGTCCTGCACACCGCCTAGGTTATCCTTATAATTTCCAGCAGGTGTTTTAAGGAAAGACGGGGAAAAGCTCCGACGTCCGTAAACCCCTTCTTTATACTCTATAGAGTGAAGCGGGGATTAAATCAGAGTCAAATCTCAGATTTCGTGGAAACTCACGACTGGTCTGCTCACTCCTCTCTAACCATTTCCTTCAGTGGCGCGTTGCGCATGCGTAAAGAGCGCCAGCTCTCGTTCTCATAACTCATGATTTTAATTTTACTTTTAGCTGTATTAGTACACCTGCTGCTATTACAGATATTGTAACTAATTATTACTGCTGCAACTTCTCACTACATCAAAGACCTCATGATTTCTCTGAATGCATTTACTTTGCCTGCCCGTCTATTACTCTGACCTGCACCTGGCGTGTTTTCTCTCCGTTTTGAAAACTTTAAAGTAATATATTTACATTTCTTTCTGTGTCAGAAGAAGGCCCTACAGATATAGATGTTTTTTCCCCTTTTTCTTTCATATCATCAACTTTCTAATAAGTGGATGACCTGCTCTGTCTCCTGAGCTACAGCTATCCCAAAACCAAACCATTCTACCTTCGATATGGGGTATCTTGAAATTTTGGGGGTATTTCCACTGCACTAGAGTGCTTTAGAGGTGGTTTTCAACAGGTCTCCAGTATTTGCGTGATTCTGGACTGAAAGGTTTCAGATTATTTAGCTTTTGGGCAACAGTTAAGTTTGTGCCTATCTTTAAAACAAATGCTGCAAAACTCAGCTACAGATGAGAAAATACAGTAAAATACTTATATGAGATATAATTTTTATTTTATTATTTTTGTTAGATTGTCCTTGACTGAAATAGAACTTTATAAATCATACATTTCCTCAAGGTATGTTTGTATGCAGGATGGCTCTTTAAATAAGGATCATGTGGAAACATTTGTGCTCAGTCAATATTTGATACTGATACTGTCTAGTAAGAATATGTCAGTTTACACATTTCTGCTTTCTGCTGCGCTCTTTAGGGGTTGCCATAGTGGATCGTTTGCCTTCATTTCACCCCATCTCTGCCATCCTATTCTGTCCTCTGCATGTCCTCGTTCACTACATCCATGAATCTTCTTTGTGGGCTTCCTCTTCTCCTGCCTGGAAGCCCAGTATATCCACAATTCCTTCTCTCCACATATCCAAACCATCTCAGGCTTGCCCCCTTAACTTTGTTTCCAAATCGCTCAGCCTGAGCTGTCTCTCTCATATACTCATTTCTAATCCTGTTCACTCTAGTCACTCCCAGCGACAATTTCAGCACCTTCAACTCAGCCATCTCCAGCTCCACCTCCTGTCTCCAAAAAAAAAACATAATAACAAGCCTTATTACCATCTTGTGACCCTTCCCTTGCTGCTATTCTCCTGTCACAAATCACCCCTGACACTGATCTCCACCCACTCTGCCTTGCCTCCCGAACACACCTTTCCCCTTCCTTTACCTTAGGTGAGCATTAGGACCACCACAGTGTTGGCCAACAACACTGGAGAGATGGAGACTGGTCCAGTATGGAAATCTCAGTTTTTTTGCTGGATGCCCTTCCACACTGTTGATGACTACTTTCCTTTTTTCACTCACAAGAAATAATAATAATAAAAAAAAAAAAATCGAGACGAAAATTTTCTGGAGAGACGAGAGCCAATCAGAATTAATTAAGTTGTGTAGAGAGGCGGAACAAGTTTGGAAGTGATCCAAACAGAAGTAGTCTCTTGCTACAGCAAGGTTAGATGTGCATAATTTGATCTGCTGCTTACAAACAGGGTGCAGAAGCTCCCATGCACCCTGTTTCTCAGGAAAATGCGGCAAAATGTCAACGCCCGGGAGGAAGAGAAGAGCGGATGGGGACCAGGTAAATCTAAGAGACTGAAACCAGCAATAAAAGATTTACAAATACACACACCCATATGTTAGAAAGAAAGTTACCTGAGGGTCTAACATTTACAATGAGGCAAGAGGTCACTGTAATTACATATTTACATACAATCTAACACATACCTTACAATCTCTGTGTCATAGTGTTATATATCTTTAGTCAGTATAAACATTGTTAACACAGGGTTGCAGTTACTGCAAACACGATTCTCAGCAGAAGGAAATGTTTCGTATTGATCTTCCAGCGTTTAGTGAAACATGAAGGTTTTATTTTAGCTGCTCCTCCACAGCTGCTTATTTTATTTACACATTATTTTCCCCTCTGCGCTTAACGAGGTGCTAATTACAGACGTGAAAACATCTGCTGCGGTGTTTATTTGGGATGAAGAGTAGACGCTGTTTATCTTTGATGGCACGCTCATTTTACCCTCTTCACGTTAATGAGAGCATGTTTTGCACACACGCACGCACACACACCAAAGTTTAAATGCCCCACTGGTTACCCATTTGTCCCAATTACAGATGTGACTATTACCCACTGACAGGCACACGATGATGATTAATTATCAGCTTTGGTAGCTAATGTAGTTGGCATGCCCCCATAATATGACTTTAATTGTCTATCATCTTTCTCTTTGTTTCCCTTTCTTATCACCCCCTCACTGAGCTCATTGTGCTCTGATCTTTATTCCTAGCAAATAACCTTGACTGAAGAAATTGCGAGGACAATTATTTTTTAATTCTCAGTGCCTCCCTTTTCTCTGTTCTTGTCAGTTGCACTTTATTCCAATTTCTCACTCTTAAGTGATACTTCTTTTTCTTCCCCTCCCACTGTCCATGAGCAACATGATAATTAAAAATCGTGACCTCGTTATTTTAGTTTCAGTCACAATTCATGAATAGAGGGAGCACCAGAGCTGAAAGGGAAATGAAAAACTGATCTAGAAATATACACACTCACACACGGCCTGACTTGGCTGTATGTTGTTTAAGTCCCATCACTTACCAGCAGAGTGCAGTAACCACCAGCCTATAAACCACCAGCTCTGCTCTGTGTCCACCTCCCGACGAAATTTATGATGAATTTTGTTGGTTCATTTGCTGTGACAAATATGTGTAATGCAAGCTCTAAAAATAAAATCTCTTTGGGTTCCACAGAACTTGAATAAAGGCTAAAGAAGTGCAATCAAATACACATATCCTCATAAACCAACAACAATGCTTCATTGCATTTATAGTAAACTTATGTACTATAAGTTTACTATGCGTTATGTAAAATGTATTTTAATTTACGTTCAAATGGCATAACAAAAAGTGTTTTGTGAATATTTTAAGCATTAAACCAGCACACATCACGGATGCCACTTAACGAATTCATGCCACAAGCTCACAAATAGCTCAGATGCACTGAAAGGCAGCAAGGTCTGCACCATTACACCGGAGACAGAGCATTTCAGAGGTGAATATTATCATTCTAGTGCCTTAGATATTTGTGGCTACATACATTCTAACTGGAAATCCCTTTTAACCCTGTAACGTTACCTTCCATGCAATGTGATGTGCACCTCCAGAGAAAGGTAACTACATGTCAGATGTATTTAAGCCTGCAATGTCTGAATGGAAGAGGGGTTTCTGGTTGCATTGTAAGGTACGACACAGATTTTTAAATTAGGCTTTGGTGTGTGGGCTTTACGCTGTGCACCCATGGTCAAAGCTGTAAATAAAACAGAAAAGCAAGACAGGTGATGTGATTATCTCTCTGCCGAGAGGAAAGAATAAAGGGACGAGGTCATTCACCTCGTCACTGCTTGTTCACTTGACTTTGACCATCAGTCCATTAGCAGCAGTTCTCCTGCTGCACCTCCATTCACCAGTCTATCAAACTCCTGAAGTTTGCAGATGACACCACCCTCATCAGGTTGAGAAGGTGATTGGCTGGAATCTTCCTTCCCTCCAACACCTCATTTGTGTGGAAAACATGGCAATAAATGCACTTCTGATTCTGACGTGCTTTTGTCTGCACCCTGTCCCAGGGGGACAGGTTACATCCTGTGGTTATGTAGAAGGAGAGTCGAGGTACACTGTGGACAGGTCACCAGTGTGTCACAAGCCTAACACAGTGAGACAGAAAACCGCCCGCACTCACATGCAATTTAGAATCACCTCTGCTGATCAACTGAAGGAACTGCAGCTTCAGGCACTTCTGCTCTGGCTTCAGTTTTCAGCCTGAGAAGTTGCTGCTTGTTGTCACACTGTCTTCTGTCTCCTGCTTTTGTTCTTATGTCTTTCCATTTCTGCATCACTTCTAAAAGACCTTTTGATTTAAGATGAAAAATTGTGAGACATGATGTACAGATAATGATGTCTCTCAAGGTTGTTGAGATAACGCCTAAAAATTTGCAATGCTTCTTGATTTCAGACAGCTGTGTGTCTAATCATGTTTCAAACTACTGCTTGTGGCCACTAATTATGCTGTCTGAAGTGACTCGTGACACGAGGAGATTCTGTCATCTGTGAACTAGATTTGTAATTAAGCTGCCGTTGGCTGAAATTGCTGTTGATTGACACCGCATGTTAAACAGTGTATTTCACTTTTAATGTCAAGGATAAAGACAGACTGCTGTGTTTGAATAATGTAAGAGGACCCTGGGTAACGTTTCCCTTCATTCATGTATTCATCCTACAACTTTGCTTCTGCTGCTTCCCGTTCCCTGTCCTCCATCGAACCCCTCACCTCTTCCTCTGAAGCCTGAGCACATCACACGAGTGGGGGATGTATTAAATCTGAAATCCTTCCACCTCAGTGCGATTGTGGAAATTGTGTATCCCTGCGGGAAGTAAATGCAGATTGAGGGATGGGTACATGGAACGAGGAGAAGTGAATGGAAGAAGAGATGAATTTAGTGAGGAAAGGTTGGATTGATTGGGTGGTATTTAGAAGATGGATGGAAGATGGTGAACACGAGGGAGAGAAGGAATGAAGGGATGGATGTGAGAGGAGGTGTGTGTGAGACGAATGAGCTGTCCGTTTGAAGATAAATCAGAGAGGCAGCGTAGTGAGGAGCTCTATAACTACACGCACACACACACATATACAAACAGATGCGTGTGTGCGCACGCTCATGTTTTGACTCACACACATGCAAACACAAATACACTGACTGACTTACTCCCTCGTGCACATTCTGCCCCACGGCGAGGTGGTAAAAGGCCACGGCTGATTGGATGCTGGAGGCTGATTTTGCCCCGAGTGGCAGAGCAGGGCATGTTGGGATGTTTGGATACAA